CGTCTCTCTTTACACGCAAAAAAATGATTTAGTAATATCAGCTAAACCGCGGTAGATTCAAACTTAATCAAAAGGCTAATCGTTTAGCTATCACTGTTAAGAATTGGTTATGACAGCTAAGATACATTCGCTATGAAATACAAATATATTAGGTGACATTAAAAATGCACATTATTTCAAGTAGCTAGGAAAATAGCAGCTATTCCTAAATTTCTTATCGTATGCATATATTAAAGAAGTTTGCCGTACAGCTATAATCATTTGTTACAGTTATTTATTTCTAACAGCTAATATTTCTCGCTGTAACACCTAAGTTTAACAGCGAATAAATTTAGCTTCGGTAGTATCGACATTAACTGTTCCTATTTCAGTGACACATCTTATCTGCCACAGCTATTTTTTAGCTCTGGAAGCTAGTTCTTTTTTTGCGTATAGATTATAAAAATTGTATCGTCGATAAAATAACTTGCTATATAATTCAGATTGTATAGCCAGTATTCGTGTTGCGCAGAGATATACGATTTAACCACGTGTTAATTAAGTGTTGAGATTCTCCTAGATTCTAGTGGACGAGAAAAACGTTCCCGATTCCCCGGATTTAGTAATCTTCACGTGTCTTATAGAGACATGTGTTTGCACGCAAAAAAAGACTTAGTAATATCAGCTAAACCGCAGTAGCTGATTCAAACTTAGTCAAAAGACTAATCGTTTAGCTGTCACTGCTAAGAAATGGCTGTGACAGTTAAAATGCATTCGCTATGAAATATATTAGGTGACATTAAAAATAACATTATTTCAAATAGCTAAGAAAATGGCAGTTATAGTTAAATTTTTTATCGTATGCATATATTAAAGAAGTTTGCCGTACAGCTACAATCATTTGTTAGTCATTTATTTCTAACAGCTAATATTTCTCGCTGTAACGCCTAAGTTTAACAGCGAATAAATTTAGCTTCGGTAGTATCGACATTAACTGTTCCTATTTCAGTGACATCTTATCTGCCACAGCTATTTTTTAACTCTGGAAGCTAGTTCTTTTTTTGCGTATAGATTATAAAAATTGTATCATCGATAAAATAACTTGCTATATAATTCAAATTGTATAGCCAGTATTCGTGTTGCGCAGAGATATACGATTTAACCACGTGTTAATTAAGTGTTGAGATTCTCCTAGATTCTAGTGGACGAGAAAAACGTTCCCGATTCCCCGGATTTAGTAATCTTCACGTATCTTGTAGAGACATGATTGCACGCAAAAAAAGACTTAGTAATATCAGCTAAACCGCGATAGCTGATTCAAACTTAATCAAAAGACTAATCATTTAGCTGTCACTGCTAAGAAATGGCTATGACAGTTAAAATGCATTCGCTATGAAATATATTAGGTGACATTAAAAATAACATTATTTCAAATAGCTAAGAAAATGGCAGTTATAGTTAAATTTTGTATCGTATGCATATATTAAAGAAGTTTGCCGTACAGCTACAATCATTTGTTAGTCATTTATTTCTAACAGCTAATATTTCTCGCTGTAACGCCTAAGTTTAACAGCGAATAAATTTAGCTTCGGTAGTATCGACATTAACTGTTCCTATTTCAGTGACATCTTATCTGCCACAGCTATTTTTTAACTCTGGAAGCTAGTTCTTTTTTTGCGTATAGATTATAAAAATTGTATCATCGATAAAATAACTTGCTATATAATTCAAATTGTATAGCCAGTATTCGTGTTGCGCAGAGATATACGATTTAACCACGTGTTAATTAAGTGTTGAGATTCTCCTAGATTCTAGTGGACGAGAAAAACGTTCCCGATTCCCCGGATTTAGTAATCTTCACGTATCTTGTAGAGACATGATTGCACGCAAAAAAAGACTTAGTAATATCAGCTAAACCGCGATAGCTGATTCAAACTTAATCAAAAGACTAATCATTTAGCTGTCACTGCTAAGAAATGGCTATGACAGTTAAAATGCATTCGCTATGAAATATATTAGGTGACATTAAAAATAACATTATTTCAAATAGCTAAGAAAATGGCAGTTATAGTTAAATTTTGTATCGTATGCATATATTAAAGAAGTTTGCCGTACAGCTACAATCATTTGTTAGTCATTTATTTCTAACAGCTAATATTTCTCGCTGTAACGCCTAAGTTTAACAGCGAATAAATTTAGCTTCGGTAGTATCGACATTAACTGTTCCTATTTCAGTGACATCTTATCTGCCACAGCTATTTTTTAACTCTGGAAGCTAGTTCTTTTTTTGCGTATAGATTATAAAAATTGTATCATCGATAAAATAACTTGCTATATAATTCAAATTGTATAGCCAGTATTCGTGTTGCGCAGAGATATACGATTTAACCACGTGTTAATTAAGTGTTGAGATTCTCCTAGATTCTAGTGGACGAGAAAAACGTTCCCGATTCCCCGGATTTAGTAATCTTCACGTATCTTGTAGAGACATGATTGCACGCAAAAAAAGACTTAGTAATATCAGCTAAACCGCGATAGCTGATTCAAACTTAATCAAAAGACTAATCATTTAGCTGTCACTGCTAAGAAATGGCTATGACAGTTAAAATGCATTCGCTATGAAATATATTAGGTGACATTAAAAATAACATTATTTCAAATAGCTAAGAAAATGGCAGTTATAGTTAAATTTTGTATCGTATGCATATATTAAAGAAGTTTGCCGTACAGCTACAATCATTTGTTAGTCATTTATTTCTAACAGCTAATATTTCTCGCTGTAACGCCTAAGTTTAACAGCGAATAAATTTAGCTTCGGTAGTATCGACATTAACTGTTCCTATTTCAGTGACATCTTATCTGCCACAGCTATTTTTTAACTCTGGAAGCTAGTTCTTTTTTTGCGTATAGATTATAAAAATTGTATCATCGATAAAATAACTTGCTATATAATTCAAATTGTATAGCCAGTATTCGTGTTGCGCAGAGATATACGATTTAACCACGTGTTAATTAAGTGTTGAGATTCTCCTAGATTCTAGTGGACGAGAAAAACGTTCCCGATTCCCCGGATTTAGTAATCTTCACGTATCTTGTAGAGACATGATTGCACGCAAAAAAAGACTTAGTAATATCAGCTAAACCGCGATAGCTGATTCAAACTTAATCAAAAGACTAATCATTTAGCTGTCACTGCTAAGAAATGGCTATGACAGTTAAAATGCATTCGCTATGAAATATATTAGGTGACATTAAAAATAACATTATTTCAAATAGCTAAGAAAATGGCAGTTATAGTTAAATTTTGTATCGTATGCATATATTAAAGAAGTTTGCCGTACAGCTACAATCATTTGTTAGTCATTTATTTCTAACAGCTAATATTTCTCGCTGTAACGCCTAAGTTTAACAGCGAATAAATTTAGCTTCGGTAGTATCGACATTAACTGTTCCTATTTCAGTGACATCTTATCTGCCACAGCTATTTTTTAACTCTGGAAGCTAGTTCTTTTTTTGCGTATAGATTATAAAAATTGTATCATCGATAAAATAACTTGCTATATAATTCAAATTGTATAGCCAGTATTCGTGTTGCGCAGAGATATACGATTTAACCACGTGTTAATTAAGTGTTGAGATTCTCCTAGATTCTAGTGGACGAGAAAAACGTTCCCGATTCCCCGGATTTAGTAATCTTCACGTATCTTGTAGAGACATGATTGCACGCAAAAAAAGACTTAGTAATATCAGCTAAACCGCGATAGCTGATTCAAACTTAATCAAAAGACTAATCATTTAGCTGTCACTGCTAAGAAATGGCTATGACAGTTAAAATGCATTCGCTATGAAATATATTAGGTGACATTAAAAATAACATTATTTCAAATAGCTAAGAAAATGGCAGTTATAGTTAAATTTTGTATCGTATGCATATATTAAAGAAGTTTGCCGTACAGCTACAATCATTTGTTAGTCATTTATTTCTAACAGCTAATATTTCTCGCTGTAACGCCTAAGTTTAACAGCGAATAAATTTAGCTTCGGTAGTATCGACATTAACTGTTCCTATTTCAGTGACATCTTATCTGCCACAGCTATTTTTTAACTCTGGAAGCTAGTTCTTTTTTTGCGTATAGATTATAAAAATTGTATCATCGATAAAATAACTTGCTATATAATTCAAATTGTATAGCCAGTATTCGTGTTGCGCAGAGATATACGATTTAACCACGTGTTAATTAAGTGTTGAGATTCTCCTAGATTCTAGTGGACGAGAAAAACGTTCCCGATTCCCCGGATTTAGTAATCTTCACGTATCTTGTAGAGACATGATTGCACGCAAAAAAAGACTTAGTAATATCAGCTAAACCGCGATAGCTGATTCAAACTTAATCAAAAGACTAATCATTTAGCTGTCACTGCTAAGAAATGGCTATGACAGTTAAAATGCATTCGCTATGAAATATATTAGGTGACATTAAAAATAACATTATTTCAAATAGCTAAGAAAATGGCAGTTATAGTTAAATTTTGTATCGTATGCATATATTAAAGAAGTTTGCCGTACAGCTACAATCTTATCCGCCACAGTTATTTTTTAGCTCTGGAAACTAGTTCTTTTTTTGCGTTTACGTTTTCCCATCATACTCGTGGCGAATCGACACTGTCGCCGCGATTCTACGTCGCGATTTCGAGTCGACCGCTGCTCGGCGAGCAAAGGAGACACCGCAACGGGACCGGCCGCCGCGGCACGCTGCGCGACCTACCGTCGTCGTCATCCTCGCGCGATTCGCGCCCGATTCGGCATTAAACGTAGCTCGCGAGAGATAGAGTGGAACGAGGACGAATGGCTCGAACCACGCGAGTGCACGGGACGCTCTCACCGCGCGCGTACTACGTGCGCGCACGTAGTCGCACGCGCGCTCGCGCTCGCAGATGCAGATGCGTTCTTACGACCGAATGATGTATGCGTCACGTGCGAGAGCACCGACGCGCCGCATACATACCAGGAAGAATCTCGCCGGGCATCTCGCGGGAGAGCGCAGTCCCGGCCGCGCTCGAGCCGACGAGAGCCGCGCGCGCACCGCGCAAGGTGGAGGACTCCGCGTCGACGCGGACTCTTCTCCTCCCGGTATCGGGGAGCTTGATGCGAAAAGCAGGTAGTACCATCAACTTATTATCAAGGAGCGTCCATGCCTTCGAATTAAATCGCGCAAATTATGCTCCCCCTCGCCGCGATATATAATTGCCGGGTACAACTTCTGATCTTCTTACGCGGAAGAAGCGTGTTTTCAACAAAAATCGTCAGCCACTATCCGCTTGAATCCATTTCGTCTCGCCGAGATCATTTTTACGGAGTAAATAATTTAAATTCGTCCGCGTGCGATTGCGTCTCTACACAATTATGTCGCGACACGTCCTGAAAGCATCTTCAAATTCGAGCGCGATTTCCGGAAAACTCGACTGATCCTTTCCCGGCAGAAATTTACAAAAAGCTTTTGCAAATAAAAATAAACTTTTCTGTTTTTAACACAGTAGTTGTTATCTTTTCATGCATTGACACTTGTACTTCCATTCTGTAAAAGCACTTGCAATTCCGTGTAACCAAATGGAATAACAGTGCAAACTACAAAATTGCATTATGTCGGTTTCCAGCATCTTCTTGATACGAAACTGTAAAAAGATTAAAATGTATGACTCAAAAGCAGGTTTTCCTATGAGAGATATAAAAATGCATTTTATATACTGCAAATATGTCCTGATTGTTTTTGTCTTTCTCTTGAAGGGATATAAAACAACTTTTCCGGGTGCATGAAAAGCATAAATTTAAAACTTGCTCTCGTCATCATAGAATTCAAAACCTTCTCTATAAGTTTTTTTATTTTTAATATTTTATTCTAAAATTTGTCGATTTTATTATAAAACCGATTTTTAAAATAATTGTTCAAACCAAGTTATTAAAAAAGCATATTTCTGTAAATTTATTATTCTATATTTTAGTCTTTGACAGGCTAATAAACGAGTGCATGGAAAACATAAATTCAAAACTTGCTCCTGTCATCATAGGATTCAAAACCTTCTCTGTAAGCTTTTTTATTTTTAATACTTTACTCTGTAAGCTTTTTTATTTTTAATACTTTACTATGAAATTTGTCAATTTTATTATAAAGCCGATTTTTTAAATAATTGTTTAAAACAAGTTATTAAAAAAGCATATTTCTATTCTATTAAAAAATATATTCTATATATTCTATTAAAAAAGTAAATTTATTATTCTATATTTTAGTCTTTGGCAGGCTAATATAGTCGTAATTTTTGTAAAAGAAAAAATCGATAACACTTAAAGAATTTATTATATAAATTCTCTCTCTCTCTCTCTCTCTCTCTCTCTCTCTCTCTCTCTTTCTCTATTTAGGAATTTAACAAGTGATTATTAGACTCATCATAAGAAAAGAGCGATTTCACGGAAATGACTCTCGCCATTATTTTATTTTTTATTTTCTAATTTTCAAAAAAAACATTTTTATTAACACTAACCTCCCACTATGGTTTAATGGGTTAATGATTAATTCGATACGGTATATTTGCTTCATAAATGTAATTAAGACATTGTAGGACTTCCATTATCGATTGTCTCTGTGTGACAATCAAGGAAGCTTATCTGGGCAGAGATTCCGGTGTGCAACGCGCGGACACGTACTCGCGTCCGACGCAGTCGTCGCGTTGGCCGGCCTCGACGCGACGCGTCGCTCGAAATGATCGGTTTCGACATGCGTGCCGTGCCGGAACGACATTTTACGATGCGTTCGAAACTTCACACACCTTGCCGAATCGGTCGTTCGTTCATTCGGTCGATCGGTCGGTCGGTCGGCCGGCCGGCGGACTTTCACTTTGTTCTTTCTGGAAGTAAGCACGCCATATCCGATTGTTCGGATTTCAATAACCGCGCGCTTACGTGGCAGCTGCCGCTTACGTCGCCAAGCCGCGCGGTCGAAATGTACGAGCGAGAGAGAGCGAGAGAGAGAGCGAGAGAGATAGAGAGAGAGAGAGAGGGAGAGAGAGAACGCGAATTAGCGAATAGCTTGTACGCGCGTTCACGCACCCGCTCGAGAATCGCGGGTCGATGATGTAATCCACGACCCGCGCGACCGGCTCGCGCGACAGGGGTGGTCAACGAGTCGGTCGCGATCGACTGGTCAATCCGGAGTCCCGCAGTGACTTTCGATCGATCTTTATGCACCTGTCACCGCGCCGCGTTTGTACGTCTGTGATTGATTTTTGCTCTTTCCTCGAACACCGTCCTACACGTAGAGGTTTTATAACAAGAACCACTGTAGAATTTTGTAACCGAGACCGGCACACATCTCGACATTCCGCCCTAATTTATTACCCTTCCGTATCGTATGTATGTATTTTAGGAGCAGGTATATTCTTTAAAAAATATACTACTAGAGAAAATTGAGAAGGATTTATACGAGGAGAAAACTGTGATATTTTTCTCCATTCATATTGAGAGAAAATATTCAATGAATACTAAAAACATATTTGTTTATAATATTCTTATATATGTGGAAAAAAATATTCAGTGGATACTAAAAACATATTTGCTTATAATATTCTTACATCGCGAGAAAAAACGTTTTCAGTGAGAAAATATACATTTACTTAAAACCACACGTTTTGTATGAAAAAAACAATTGTTTATTCTATTTAAATAAAAACAAATTTATATTCAAATGTAAATTTAAAGTTAAATTTTAAGAGAAAACTTTTTTATTTTGAGAAATGTACATTTCAAATGTACAAATGTATATTTTAATGAGAAAATGTACATTCTCGTAAAATCGTTATATATTGCATGTTATGGAAACAATTGTTTATTCTATTTAAATAAAAGCACATTTAAATTTAAGTAAATATATTATTAATACCTACCGAATAAATATTTTATTTTTTTAGATATTTCTTCTCTCAGTGTGCGGAATCAAATTTTATTAGTGGAAAAAATGATTAATGTTAATGTTATTGTTAATTAAGTTAAAGTTTTTACGTGTTTTACTTTTCTTTTCGTAATTCTGCAACCAATACGACGTAAACTTTGCAGAAAAATGTCTGCATTCTGTCGGTAAAATATCAGTCTCAGCATTCCCTTAAGCTTCTGAATTCAGATACGAAATAGCAATGTTCTTCAAAATTTTTCTATTTGAAGTATCCACATTTCCGGTATGCATAAGCTGCAAAACTTTTGAATCAGGTGAATATTACGCTAATTGATAAATTGAGATTTTACGAATTTAAAAAAATTTTGTTTCGTTTTCGTCACATATCGAGCAATGCTCCTATTTACACATACTACATACTATTTGCACATATTTTCATCGCGTAAATTAAAATGTATGACTCAAAAGCAGGTTTTTCTATAAAAGATATAAAAATGCATTTTATATACTGCAAATATGTCCTGATTGTTTTTGTCTTTCTCTTGAAGGGATATAGAACAGCTTTTCCGGGTGCATGAAAAGCATAAATTCAAAACTTGCTTCGGTCGTCGTAGAATTCAAAATTTCTGTAAGTTTTTTTTATTTTTAATATAATTTTATTTTTTTATTTTTAATATTTTACTATGAAATTTGTCGATTTTATTATAAAAGCATTTGTAATTCTGCATTTGCAACCAATACGACGTAAACTTTGCGGAAAAATGTGAGTGTTCTGCCGGTAAAGTTTTCAGCTCCAGCATCCTCTCAAAGTTTCCCGATGAGTTTCGCGTCAGCGCTGATCGCGCTAATCCAAACGGGACACGCGCATACAACGCGCGAGACGTCGCGTGCTCGCGAGAAAGGGGTCCAGGCGGCTGAGCCTGTTCCGCGAGCACGCGAGACGGCGATGACGAGTATCTCGGCGACGTCGTAGCACAAACGAGACGACGCAGTAAGCGTGGCGTAACGGAGAACGCGCGCGGGACGAACGAGAGCATTGGTAACTTTCTCGGGACATTCGGGGGAGATTTAACGCGCCAACGCCGCCGTGTTGCGGCGCCGCCGCGTTCGTTTGCCGTTCCCGACGATTTACGATACGATAACGTTGGACGTATTAGTCATAGCCGCTGCATACCGCACGGAAAATCGAGACATCCGGCAAGGACGGCGAGACCGTTCGACTTAGAAATTTCAAGACGGCCGCGCGCACACGCCACACGCACACACCCACACACACACACACGCGCGCGCGCACACGAGCGTAGGTGCGTCGCCCGCACCTGTGCGCGCACGATGGACACCAGTACGTGCACATGGGCGAGCGTACACATCGTCTAGTGCAACCTTGAAGATCGGGAATATCTACACGGCCACGTGCGCGGATAATCCTGCTCGCGTCTCACCTCCTCGTTAATTCCCGACGACGTGTCCTTAAAACGTATGCTTTTTTTCAGGAGAAGATATCTACACGGCGCACGTCCTGCGCGCGTCCAAGCGATTTTTATGCCATTCCCAGAAGAGACCAGCGAGTCCTGCGTGATCTCTGAATGACCACGTTACTCTTGTTACTCTGACGCGAATATCGGTGTTACCAATTAGTGTGGCCAATAATTAAATAATTTAATTGACTAGGCGCTAAGAATATTCTGTGTCCCGAGTTGCTCGCGAACGCAACGATTAGCCGAGACACATTAACTTTCCTTGACACGCGTGATTTCCTAATACACTAAATCTCTTATTCTGAACTCTCCTTTGTCCATAAAAATGCTTCTGAATGTGCTTACAAGTCAAGAAGACTTATAAGTCATATTTAAGGTCATATCGCTTTCATCGATAAAAGAAAGTTCAGAGTAAAGACCGAAAACTCGGTTTGAGCAATTAATTTCTAAATAATGGAAATGAACCATAATATAAGTTTTTTTTTAATATGAACTTTCCCCGATAGACTGATGCACGTAAACTTTACAGTATCTTTAAATATATATTAAATCACACGAAATTCTGTAATGTTGAATCTTTTATGACTGATCAGATTGCACTTATATTTACTACATAGAATGATGAAATGGAAGTACGAAAAAAATGATTAAAATTTGTTCTAACAATATGTCATGGTAAATGTGAAAGTATAACTTTAGTAAATTTGTTATTGCCTTAATACAACAAGGAATTTACATTATTGTATATGATGTGTAAATTTAAAAATTAATTCAATACACACTATATTTACTTCATAATGTATTTAAAAGAATTGCAAAGTTCCCATCATCGATTATCTAACGTCATAATAATCATGAAAATTTATATTCAAATTTATACATGGGTTTCATTTCTATCCAAACAGATAACAGATACGTAAATTTGATAGCAACTTTACCGGTTGATTTGTGAAAGTTGCGTCTCTTATGAGTGGCACATGCGGCATTCGTATTTGTCACATAAAAAGACCTGAAATAGAAGTACAAAAATAATTATGAAATTTTGCTCCGGACAATATGACATGCAAAATGTAGTGTGAAAATTCGAGTGTTACTTATAGTAAATCTGTTGCTCTGCATCAATATAACAAAAGATTATATTATTGTATGATGTAAACTTAATGATTAATTCATTATATATAGTATATTTGCTTCATAAATGTAATAACAAGAGTTGTCAAGTTTCCATCAACTCATGTCTCAATGTCTCATGTGATAATCACGACATGAAAGTCTATCTGGATAATTAAAGCGCTCGCGGACGATAACGTTTATGACTTCGAAAAGGCATCGATTTTGCGCCTTGTTGGTCTGATGTTTTCTACCTAATTTTGGTTAATCGGACTTAACTGATTGGTAATTCTAATGGAATTGATCCATCGCGTTTCTCGTTAGTCAGAACTGACAGATGCGATTAATCAATTCTATTGGAATAACAGCTGGCTAAGTTAACGAAAATTGGTAGAAACGGGCATGAGAGGCCGAGTCGAGGAAGGTTAATCGCGATCGAATCCCAAATGGGACGCGCGTTATTAACATCGTTGCGTGCCACGCTACAAAGTAGCCCCGGTGAGAGATCAGGACGCGTCGTGCGACGCGACACGACCGCGCGAGAGAGATCCCACGTATCGCGCCGCCTCGGTGGCCGCGCGCAGTCGGAGAAAACGTTGTCACGTGGCAGCGCGTTTCGACCCGAGCTTCCCCCTTTATTCCGCCGCGGAGGAGCCTGACTTCTTGAGGTCGAGGAATTTAATAACGGACGAGGTCGAGTTGCGCGCCGGCGCGAGCGCGCTCGAGCAAGGAGCGAGCGAGCGAGCGAGCGAGAGAACAAGCGAGAGAAGAAGCCCGTGTTGGTGACCAGGAGGAGAGGTTGCGCTCATTCATAGGAATTTTACAGGTTGTCAGGCAGGTTTGACCGGCCTTTGTCATGGGAGCAACACCAGAGAGCCATCCAGGCAGAGAGAGAGAGAGAGAAAGAGAGAGAGAGAAAGATATATGTTCGTCTCGCTCTCTTTCTCTCATTCTCTTTCTCTCGCTCTCCGGCGACCGAAGGCGACCGAATCACGGATGAATTTAGACGTCCACAGCGTACGTGTCTCCTCCTACCTACGCGCCTATCTACCTGTGGACAGACTCGACGACCTATGCCGAGTTTCACCTAGCGTCGTTTCACCCACCACCGGGCGCCGCCGATCGATTCGGACCGATCGGGGTTTTAGCGCACCTTTGTTGTGACATACGAGAACGGAGCGGAGCGGAGCTGCGCGGCGCGCTGCGACCCAGAGTGCGCTCGCACTCCGTGAGAAAGAGAAAGACACGCTCGGCCGACCATGAGGATCAGTGGCGATTCAAATAAGATAATCGCATCGTTTGGGCTTCGCGTATGCACGAAGGAGAGACGCGTATACCTATAGAGCCGCTATATGTCGAAATGACGGCCTATAGTCGGATTGTACGGTCGACTGTATGGGCGGCGCGCTTCGTCGAGATACTTTTCGATTTGAGTCTCGGAACCGGAGAAAAACGATCACTTCTGTCCATTTACGAAGGATTTATTGACTTCTAAATATATATTTTATTATTTATTATTTATTCTAAATATATATTTTATATTGTATAATATTTACGTATTTATAATAATAAATGAGAAATTATATATATATTTACATATATATAATAATAAATGAGAGATGTATTGTATAGTATATAATATATGAATAATATACGAGATATTATATTGTACAATTCTCATAGGTTTTTTTTGCGAATATTTTACAAGTGTTATGTCTTTTTTGCAAATATTAAGTTTTTTTGTGAATAATAAATATAATTAATTAGCATATTAAAATAACAAGATTTGAAAATATGAACGTGATATTTTAAGATTCCCTAATATCACTGTGACAATAAATATAACTATGATACGATCATAGACATTTGTATTAGGTGGATTAAATGGCACATTCTTCAGAATTTCGAAATTATATCCTCTCAGATAACTAATAGTTGCAAATGAGGTTACAAACATGATAGAGATAATCTTTCTCTATGTTTTTATGCTTGCCATGATAAACCGCATATTTTTTATTATAACCGAAGTATGAATATACTGCTACTACAATGTGGCTATCTTGCTTTGGTATTGAGTCAGATTGGTTACCAAGTCTGAGTAAGAAGGCCACATATCAAATATGTATTCTGATTAGTATTTCTGGGGTCTCCGTAAGAGGTCTCTATAGCTGTATCAACCCTTAAATAGTGGCCAATGTTACTATTTCCGTCCATATGGATTTTCTGATGGATTTTCTGAATCTATTTCTAAGTGAAAATCTATTTCTGAGTGAATTGCTTTTATTACTTGAACAGTGTATCACGCACACACACATAAACTTGCAGATAACTAATAACATGTCACTTAGGTTTATTCACTCGCGATGGAGAATATTAATAAGAAATTTCAAAACGCTCAGAAATTTCGAGTACTTAGCTGTTCTTAAATCAGTTTTTTTTATTTTTTAATTGTGATATTATTCTCTGATTTTAATAAACCTCAAAGAAAATACTGAAAAAACCAATACTTTTAAACCAATGTTTAAAAAGATTTTGCGATTTTCTTTCCACTTTATCTCATGATAAATTCATAAACAAAATACGCGATTAAAATACCTTTTAGACCAATTAAACTCAGTCTCTCCTATTATACGTAAAAGTTGTCCTAAAAAGTTATATATTATATATAGTAAGTAAATATCTATGGTGTAAGTAATATGAAAGATTTTACATAACGTGACCGATATCTACATGTGTGTGCCTACAGAAGTGGCATTTTAAATTGTGTGTACATAACATATTATTTAAATTATTCAATAGGTCTGTTTTAACCGACTAATGAAGGCCAAATGGTAGTTAAAAGGTAATGTAGATTTCGAAGAGAAACGTGTTGCAATGTTTCTACCGCCGATTACACGTACAGAATTATACTCGTGGCGCACATTTACATAGAAAGTCCCGAAGTATTTCATCGATTCTAAATTTAGACCAGTATAGAATTGTTCTAAGGAGTCTAAATAATACAAATTTGCACCTTCTATTTTTGCATCTAAAAAATGGTAGCATGTAGAATTTTATAATTTTCATTTTAATGTTATAATATACTCAAACCGTATATTTGAAACTTTTTAGAAAAAAATTTTATTATATATAGTATGTTTTAATCTAAGATATTAGGTGAGTACATCAACTTTTGACAAAAACATTTTATTATGAATATTTCAACATAATACAACAAGAGAGTATATTAACTTTGTAAAGTAAAACTTTTTTTAGAAATATCTGTCTATCTATCCGGTAAATTAAATTGTGCTATAGAAAAATGTGAAATTTACTCGGTTTTAAATTCAATTTTAGGAGGCAATATCGTTTCTCTGGTTAAAAAAATCGATTTTTCTTTTTTTACATTTTATTAAACTATGTATTTTTAAGAATCTATTCCTTCTTATCGCAAAAATTTCGAAAAATTCGAAAAATTGCGTAAGTTACAGCCTATTATTCGAAGCGGCGCGCAAGTCAAATCCGGCGCTCACCGAGCCGTTTAAAATTTCGTCAGATATATACGGTCCACGAAGCTCCTATGAACCCTAGGTAACAAAAGAATGACTCGGGTGTGTTTCCTCTATGGGCCTAGAATCGCTGATTAGGTTGAAACTTAGTAAGTACTAGAAATATAAGCTCAAATAGTACCAGAAACTTTAAATGTGTTTTTCTCAAAACGATTTTTCTCTAACTGGCGCGCACGATTTGAGACAAACTGCTGAACCGATCGACTTCTGCCTATAGATATATATTCAAAACATGTGCTATTTTCGTCCGAATCAGCGAAATTAAAATATATTAACTTTTCCTATTTATTTTCAGTGAAAAACTGTCAATTTTTAAGGCGATTTTTCGGGCGTTTCTTTCAAATACCTATAACTTGCTGAAAAACGATCCGTTTTTAATATTCCTAGTTTCAGCGATAACTGAATGTCCCTAGTTTAATAATCTTTTTGGCTTTTTTGTTTCAGATTAACGAGTCATGAGATATCATGCGCCCTATGGAGCAAAAACCGCTCATTTCAATTTTACGTGTTTTTCAATAACTTTTATATTTCGCAGCGTACATACTTATAGAAATTCTGACATACAAATAAAATATGTAGTATTTAGCGTACCAAGTTTTAAAATAATCGGCCACGTAGTTTCCGAGAAAAAATTCACAAAAATATAATTTCTCTTTTTTCGGCCGAGAAACGGTATTGCCCCCTTAAGAACAAATCGATAGTACTTTCATTTTGTATTTTTTACCATAAAATAAATTAGAATAGTGATTAAAAGTAAGATTACAACCTCTACTTTTTACTATAGTATTTATGTAGGAATTAATTTCTGCTAGTATTTTCAGTTAGTTAACAAAAAAATTATAATTTTTTAATTTATTAAATTGTTGAAAATTATAAAATTCTGCATGTTGTCATTTTTTTTAACGCAAAGATAGGGTAAGACTACCAGATAAAGTAGGATCAGGGTTCCTGGTAGAAATTTCATGCAGTTTTTGGACAATTACTGAATAGCTATATTAACTAGTAACTAGTATCTATCTAGTAACTGACAAATAAAACTGTTAGGATTCCGATCAAGATGTAATGCTTTTCCTACAGTTACTGCGCACAAAATGCGCAAAATATGAACCATTTACTGAACGAAAACTGAACAATAAATGGATAATGAAACTATCCAATCAATTAATAAGCAAATGTATTGCTCATAAAATGGGCAATTTTTTCCTTAAAACTGAAATGGATAAAACTCTATCAAGGTTTTGTTTACTTCCTGACGTATTGTACAGTTTTGATACAACTAATCAAAATACAGTAATACTAGATAGTAATTGGTTGGAAAACTGGATAGGTTTTCACCAGAGGGCAAATGGAA